ATGGGGCAACCTCTAGGATCTGAGAAAAGCCCTTAGCAGGCATCCAGCATAGAGACAGCAACCTCAGTCCTGTAACCACAAGGAACTAAATTCTGCCTCAGTCATGTGAGCTTGGAACAGGACCCCAAAGTCCATATGCGAATACAGCCTGGCCAATGCCTTGGTTTTAGAACCCAGTCACACCAAGACCAGAATTGTGACCTACAAATCTGTGAGCTAATAAATGGGTGTTGCTCTGAGCTGCTACATTTGTGGCTATTTGTTATACAGCACTAGAAAACTATATAAAGATCTTGTAATGCCTTCATGTCAACATTATGAATGTAATGTATATCATGTTGACAATGATGGAAGCGGCAGCTCTGCTGAACTTGAACTGACCTTTTTAAACAAAATTCTAACAGCTTACTTGGAAAAATGTAAAATCTTAAGCTTCTAAGTCTTTGTATCATTAGTAACATAAAGATAGACATTAATAACAAATTTTTTTATTAAAAAAATTTTTTTCTTTATTGATTTGAGAGAGAGAGGGGAAGGGAGAGAGAGAAACATCAATGAGAGAGAACATCGACTGGCTGCCTCCTGCATGCTCCCCACTGGGGGTTTGGCCCACAACCTGGGCATGTGCCCTGACCGGGAATCAAACTGACATACTCTTAGTGCATGGGTCGCTCAACCACTGAACCACATCGGCCGGGCAATAACAAATTTTATAACTACTATTTACATTTAGTATTTAGTTGTTTACAAGGTGTTTTAACAGAAGCTATATACTATGGGGATAAAAATAAAAAATACTGGGTTTTGAAGACAAATCTAGGTTAACATCCTGGCTATGACTCTGACTTTGAACAAGTACCCCAAATCTCTCTTCTGTTAAATGGTAAGACATATATCTATCTCCCAGAGTTCCTGAGATTATAGGACACAATATAAGGTACCTTACATGTGCTCAAATAAATGTTAGGCTACCTTACTGTTTTTATTTGCACTGTTATCACTTCACTGAAAGGAGGAATCGTGTCTTAGTCAGCATTAAACCCAAAGTGCCTAGTAGAGTGCCTAGCACATGGTAGGCACTCAATAAATCTCTTTAAAGAGAGAGATTAACATATTTACATCTGAAACAGTCCTGTGACGAAGACGGTATCCCCATTTTACAGATAAAAACTGAAGGCCAGATAGGTTGAATTTCTTATCTAAGTTTTCTTAAATTAGAAAATGGTGAAATACAGAAAAAGCTTTCTAAATTAAAGTTCTGTGCCCCTTCCATAGTACTATACATAGGCACCAGGGTATATAAAACTATATCTTATTGACAATATTTCCACATATTCAGTCCTTGTGCTCCTCAAAGGGGAGCAAAGAATGGCCACATTAATCTATAGTCCACTAAGTGGAATTCTCTATTATGAAATTTCTAATTCTCATTTACCTATATTTGCAATAAAGCACAACATAGTAAAAATGAATTCCATTGCCTAAACCCCCAAAGTTCACACGATGGGTAAGTAAATTCATCACAATAAATTTGCAAGAGCCCTGTTCCAACTAACCTTTTTGTACAGAGGAGTTTCTTTTTTTTTTCAGTCAAAAATGGTGCAAAACAGTGACAACACCAGATGCTGGCAAGGATGTGGGAAACTAGATCACTCATGTGTTTGATGGGAATGTAAAATGCAACAACCACTCTGTAATACAGGTAGGCAGTTTCTTTAAAAACTAAGCCTATACTTACATACAACCCAGTAATTGTACTTCCGCGCATTCATCAGAGAAATGAAGACTATGTCCACATAAAAACTTGTACGTGACTGCTTATAGCAATTTCATTTGCAATGGCCAAAACAATAGGAAACAAGCAAGATGTCCTATAGTATGTGGATGGTTAAACAAGCTGTGATATACCCATACCATGGAATATTACTCAGTGAGGGGTGGGAGGAGGGTGGCAAGAGAGAGAACTACTGATACATGATGCTGCAGCATGGATAGATCTCAAGAGCATTTTGCTGAGTGAAAAAAATGCCAATCAAAAAGGTTACATACTTTTATATAACATTTTTGAAATGACAAAAGGATAGATATGGAGAACAACTTGTGCTGGCCAGGTTAGGAATAGTAAGGGGGGGTGACTACAAAGGGGTTGCATGAGGGAGATATTTGTGTTAATGAAATAGTTCTATATCTTGATTGTGGTGGCAATTACATAAATGTACACATATGATAAAATGACAAAGAAATAAATATATATATATATTGTACCATTGTGAACTGGTTGGTTTTGACATTTAACTACTGTTACATAAAATGTAACCACTGGAGGAAGCTGGGTAAGAGGAACAGCACATCTCTGTTCTATCTTTGAAACTTTCTGTGATTCAATAATTATTTCAAAAAATAAAAATGGGTACAAAGCTGAATGTCTGAGACATTTTCTGCATTCTCTTCAACAAAACAGTACCTTCTCATTTTAATGGCCCCAAAAGTAAGCATAGCTCATATGTTTTTTAGGGTATTTTGAAAACAGAGATAAAACAATCACATAAAATTATGAACTTTGTCTTTACCCCAGATATCTGTATTACTTTCCCATCTATCCTCATTCCATCTTCTGGCCTCTCAAGTCGACCAATTTTCCTCTTAGTGGTCTATAATCCAAATTCACCACTCCCCCATGTCTTTTTCTTTTTTCATTCCCATGAAACTATACATTCCATCAGAAAAATTTCAACTGGCCCTGGCCTGTTTGGCTCAGCGGTTAGAGCGTCCGCCTGCGGTCCTGAGAGACCCGGGTTCGGTTCCCGCTAAGGGCGCGTACCTCGGTTGCAGTTTGTCCCCGGCCCTGGTCGGTTGTGCGGGTGGCAGCCACTCGATGTGTCCCTTCACATCGATGTTTCTCTCTCTCTCTCTGTTCCTCTCTCTCCCTCCCACTCTACCTGAATAAAAAATGGAAAAATGTCCTCGGGTGAGGATAAAAAAAAAAAGAGTAAAAAAAAAGAAAAATTTCAACTGGATATTAGGTTATCTAATTCTAGTCACTCACATTGCACATGGCTGAATGATTAGATCCTTGCTGAAAAGTATACTTAAAAAAAAAAGCTCCTTAGCCCAATTTCGTAGCATATTAATGAAATGTACAATGTAGGAGAGATTTTTAAAAAGAAAAGCCTTCCAAATTCTGCTAGACTGCTCTAAGCCATCTCCTGCCCATGCTTCACTGCACACACATTCCTCTGACCACACCCCAACTTCAGCACCTCGAGATCGTGCTTCATAAAGTAAACGTCCCAGGAACACAACTAATATTTACAAAGAACTTTGCTTTATGGAGGACTTATACGTGAGGGATCTCATTGGATACTCATTAAACTGTGGAATACATAAAAACAGGAATTTATTTATTTATTTATTTTTTTAATCCTCACCCGAGGACATTTTTCCATTTTTTGTTCAGATAGAGTGGGAGGGGGAGAGAGAGAGAGAAACATCGACGTGAAAGGGACACATCGAGTGGTTGCCACCCGCACAACCCAACCAGGGCCGGGGACAAACTGCAACCAAGTTACATGCCCTTAGCGGGAACTGAACCCGGGTCTCTCCGGACCGCAGGCTAACGCTCTAACCGCTGAGCCAAACCAGCCAGGGCAACAGGAATTTATTTTCATCCCCACTTTAGAGACAAGGTAACTTGGACACAGTGAAGTAACTTCTCAGGTTCAATACAGGCAAACAGTTAAATTGAAGAATAGAGGATATAATCAGATCTCCTGATTCCTAATCCTAAGCAATGTCAAAATATTTCATCAAACTAAACACCCCATTCCCAATCTGATAATAGACATCTTACAGGAAATGCTACAGGAATAGAAGGCAAATGGTTGACTCAACTGATCTGTCTGATCCCATCTAAAGCAGAGGTTCTCAAAGGCTTGTCTAATCCTGAGATCAGTTATGTATCTAGTGGTTCTAAATAGAGCTTTCAAAATAGGAAGTCAGCATGCACCTGTATGTGGTTAAAGTAATCAGCTGGCACAGCAAGGAACAGAAAAGAAAGCAGACTGTTTACTTCAGCTAACTTGACTGCTTAATGCAACTCACCAACCCAAGTTTGTGAAGAAAGAGCAGAATCATGGTGCTATAACCAAGGCTGAATTCAAATGAATTAAATTGGATCCCTCGCTCTCCCACATCTTGGCCAAGAAAAAGAACATGACAGCAAGGGTAAGCACAGAAAACCTCAAGGAGACATCATTAGAACCCAATTTTTAATCTCTCTCTCTTTCTTCTAAATCCTCACCCAAGGGTATTTTTCTATTTATCTTCAGATAGAGTGGGAGAGAGAGAGGGAGAGAAAGGGAGCGAGAGAAACACTGACGTGAGAGGGACACATCGACTGGTTGCCTCCACACAACCCCGACCAGGGCCAGGGACAACTGCAACCGAGGTACATGCCCTTGACTGGAATCAAACCAACGACTCATTGATCCGAGGGCCGATGCTCTATTGCTGAGCCAAACCAACCAGGGCTCGATTTTTAATCTCTTGATTCTCCTTCTAATCTATTCTTTCCAGCTGGACCATGGCTAGAACTTGTCAGCCTTTGCTTGATCAAAGTGTAAGTAATACTAATTTTTTTTTTAAAAAGCTAAATTATTGGAAAGAGCATGGAAATTAATCACATGAAAGAAAGTACTTTTGATAGCAGCAAACAGAAATGCAGAGTAGATAACCCCAGGACCTCTGACCCCAATAGAACAGTTCTCAAACTAAAAGTTTGAGAACCACACAATACACAACTAACAGCAAAGGAGTTTTATTATGAAAAGTAGAAAAGCAAATAAAACTCATGATCTTAAAGCTGCTAAACATTACATAAACATTTACTATTAATTGCCTCCTTTTTTATTCAAAGGAGTTCCTAGCCCCATTGTGCCCAGTTACAATTGGATTAGGTTGCTACAGGACAAATAAAAGGGAAGCTTTTATAGAATTCTTACCAACATGATGTTTTAGTTCTATGACCGTTTCGCCTTCTCTGCTTAATTCTGTTACTTCACAAGTGTAGTTTCCTGGGACAGCATCCTTCTTACTCAACTGCAAAGAGGCAATGCCAACTAGTAGTGCTTCTGGTACGATACTTGCGCTCGGAAAGTCTTCATAGGCTTTGGATTCATTTTTATCTCCATCATATGTAAAAAAGTATTTTCCTCCATATTTCCACTTTACAAACAGTTCTTTGAGGCTCAGTGCCCCTATATTACTAACGTAGCACGGGATGATAACAGTTTTATTGCAGGTGGTGTATTCTACAGATTTGGTTGCATTAAATATTAGTTGAGCTGACCCTGGAAAAGAAAAATAAAATAGTTTCACTTCATTATAGAATTCTATACCATAAGGTCTTAGGTATGTTACAAATCCTTAAGATAAAAAAACAATGCTTCAACTGTTCGCTTAAGTAAGCAGTGTAGCTACAGAGAGAAAACTGGCGAGGTGAAAAAGAAAAACAAATTATTTTAATATTAACATGCACAAATGGTAGATACCACTGTAATATTCCCTTATTCATTCTCAGTAATACAAAGTATACATTACCATGTGTCTTTGGAACATGCAGATGTGGTATCTGGCTTTAGAAGTTTTGAAGTAATCAATGTTGCTTACTGATGTATGTAGAAAAATATTGTCCTTACCATAGGAAATTTTTACAGAAAATCAAACCAAATATTATTTCAGTCTCTACTTCTATATACTTTCTCCAAACAGAACTTGCTAAACCAATATGAAGTTTATCTCTATCTTTCTGTTGCATTTCCAAGAAATGTGGTGGGCTATACTGTTCTTCAATATAAAAAGTAAATCAGATGGATCACATCACACCTTTCCTCTGAGATGGAAAGTCTTAGAATGCTAAGGAGAAAAAATATTCTCTGTGGTTATTTCCCCATTGCAAAGTACAGACAGCAACAGATATTTTGCATTCAAATATTATAGGTAATTATATACCACTGAAAAGCATTTTCTCACTCCCACATTTAATTGAAACTATAGAACAACAATTTCCAAATGTATATTACAGGTATTCCCTCCTTCTAGAAGCCATAAACCACTCAAAATAAAGCTAAGAAACAAGTTGAAACCAAGAACAGATGCTGCTAATAAGTAGAGTATATTCTATCAAACTCTTCTCAATAGGATAAACTCCAGTTGTCTTGCAAAACAGGGATTGCGAAAATAAATGCAATCACTCATCTGTCATCTAAAATGTGCAAGACTGTGGAGAAATTGTAGTTATCTTCTATATTGTTCAGCCATTTATCAACTTTTTCATCTAAGTAGCTAGTTGGATTTTCTCTGAAAAAAACCAAAGCACTAACAAATACAAATATCAACTTTAATAGTTAATCCTTACAATTTCTTACTTCTATATAAATTGGGAATAAAAAACAGAGGCATTGGATGTTATTATTCTAGGAACATACTACTCAATAAATGTCCAATGAATTGAATGCTAGGATTCATAGTGAAATATGAACTGGACAATATTCAGAAAGCCTGAGTACAAATCCTAATTGTCACTTTTCAGTATGTGACCTTAAGCAATGAACTTAACTTTTCTATGCCTTGGTTTACTCTCTGTAAGTAAGAGGGTCCAAAGTGAACACTGGACTACTTGACAAGAGTTGTGGCAAGTACTGAAGGAGAAAATACATGGGCAAGTGCCCTCTAAACAATACTGTGCTATAAATGTGCAGGGAAATACTATAAAAACCAGGCAAAACTAGACAAACTTCTCTGACTGGCAGGTGTAAATGGTTATATTTCTGGGAATGTGCAGTCTGAACCAAGTTTGTGGGCATCCACAGCTCACTTCTTCCCAGTTCTCTCCATTTCTAGCCATGCCGATATTAGGAAGCCCCCGGCAAAACCTGGACTTCCAATTGCATTTTTCAAAACCTTGGAGTTCTGAATTATTTCTCCTGAGAACTAAGCAAGGGGGTTGGGGAGGATACAATGTACTACAGGGAGAGAAGGGGCTGTGAGAAGCATGGGGTCCAGGGGGAGGCTACAGTGTACAACAGGGAGAGAAGGGGCTGTGAGAAGCATGGGGTGCAGGGGGAGGCTACAGTGTACAACAGGGAGAGAAGGGGCTGTGACAAGCATGGGGTGGGGGAGGCTACAGTGTACAACAGGGAGAGAAGGGGCTGTGAGAAGCATGGGGTGGGGGGAAGCTACAGTGTACAACAGGGAGAGAAGGGGCTGTGAGAAGCATGGGGTGGGGGAGGCTACAGTGTACAACAGGGAGAGAAGGGGCTGTGAGAAGCATGGGGTGCAGGGAGAGGCTACAGTGTACAACAGGGAGAGAAGGGGCTGTGAGAAGCATGGGGTGCAGGGGGAGGCTACAGTGTACAGGGGGGAGGATACAGTGTACAACAGGGAGAGAAGGGGCTGTGAGAAGCATGGGGTGGGGGGAGGCTACAGTGTACAACAGGGAGAGAAGGGGCTGTGAGAAGCATGGGGTGCAGGGGGAGGCTACAGTGTACAACAGGGAGAGAAGGGGCTGTGAGAAGCATGGGGTGCAGGGAGAGGATACAGTGTACAACAGGGAGAGAAGGGGCTGTGAGAAGCATGGGGTGCAGGGGGAGGCTACAGTGTACAACAGGGAGAGAAGAGGCTGTGAGGTTGGGATTAGAAAAGAAGGAAAGTGTCACCAAATATGGTGAACAATTTCGAAATGGATAACAGGATTATTGAGTGTCCTTTCCATGAAGTTCTGGGTGTTGTCTGACAGTTTCTTTGGGATTATCTGATTCTATAGGGGCCTGTGCCTTTCACTGTGTTTGAGGGATTTTATAATTTTGTAAGTTGTAGAAAACAAAGAGTAATACAAATCATTTATGTCCACAGAGAGAAATAAACTTTGTTCTGTGATTGATTTCCGCCTGGTGGAAGAGAGGATTTTAAAAAATTACATTTTATTGCCCTAAGGGTGTTGACCAATTTGCATATATTCACAAATTCATTTCAGCATTCCTGATTGCCTACACATTTTTCTTTAAACACCAAGATGGTCTTACCATCTTGCTAGTTTGCTTATTAATGTGTGAAATAAAATATTTGACACATGTTCATTTTATATTTGTTTGAGTCAAGATACTGTTTTCTAAAAATTATCCTTCAATAAGAGATACAAGTGAAGAATTCAGTTATCCTAGTTAACATTTTCAGAAGGCTCTAGGTAAGTGAAAAGTGGTTGGCAAACACTCTACAATTTCATTACTTATGCGTAGAGAATGAATTTCCTACAGAATGCAGGAAGTACTATTGCACTGCATTATTTGTTGTAATGTAAAAAAAAAATCTTACAGCTGAAGTAATTTAAATAGAATTAATGCTGTCAATAAAATTCAAATAAAGCTGACCCTGGATAAACTATAATTTGAATAACCTTTGCACTAATAATTAATAAGGGGAATCCAGAAATGTCACTCTATCTGCTATTAACCACATTCATTTTCTATAAACACTTATTAAAAAACTATTAAGTGGTAAAATGATCTGATCTGGGTTTTCTCTCTTTTGCCTACTGCCTTCGGAAAGAACAGCAAAGTGAAGAAAAGATTTGAAATACAGCCAATAAAGGAACACAGGTAATTAGTATGAACAAGAAAGTTCTGAATAATCAAGATATGCCTATCATAGTCTAAATCAGATCTAAAGATATAAATATAACCATCAGTGATGCCAGGGTTACCAATACATTCAAAATACAATGGAAAATTAGTTTATATTGAACACCAAAAATATTGGACTTGACAATGTGTGAATACAGACCACCAACCTAAACAAGCTCATTCCACAGTCCTGAAAACAGCCAATGTGTAGTTGTAGAGAAGGCTCAATATATGGTAGTCACAGTAGACAAGCCCAGCGCAGACATTTTCTTAAAAATGCAGCAAACACTTATTGAGAATGACCTGATCTGAAACACTGTGATAGGATGTGTGGATACAACGATGACAAAAAAAATGTATGAATTATCTTTTCAAAGCTTGCAATTTTCATTTTGGGGAGTGATAGGTACTTTTTATAACACATGGTTATGTAAGTGTTACCTCCCCTGGATGAACAAGTGCTCTGGGAGGGGAGGAGAGGAATCAGGCTCACAGATTTCTAAGACACTGTTGCTACCAGGGGAACAACAGTAAATTGTCATAATCCCCACCCACTTGGGTGGTCTTCAATCTTTTAAAACATGTTTCATGTAAATTTTCTCTCCTTTGTAACAGCTCTTAAATCACTCTCCTTCTGCAAGAGTTTATCCCATCCTCTCCAAAGCAGGCCCTCTCCTTATTTAAATCCAGTCCCTCAGAGGAGAAGCCAGAGCTTCAAATACTCCCCACCTATAAGTGTACCGGCAAGCGGAACAACCTACACTTCTCCCCCACCCCCATCTTCACTTCTCCTCTTCAGAAATGAATCCCTTCATCTGAAAGCTAGTTTCCATTTCTGCCTCCACACCCATCAATCTCAAGGACTTTCCCTAGCTGACTATCAGCCTCCTACATGCCCCTATTCCATTTATATAGTTTTTTTTAACATTTAAAAAATGCTTGAATATTCACCAACTTAAAAAAAAAAAAATCGTCATATTTGTCTGTGTCTTCCCTAGCATCCTAAAATAATAACCAAAAAGCGTTTCTTCACTTCCATTTCATTTCTTCAATCTCTGCCACCTGGCTGCCATCTCTCTACCTCTATTTACTACAACGGCTCTTGCCAAAGTCACCAATAATCCCTTGTGAAAAATCAATTATGCATGGTTCACTTTCTATCTTAACTTCTCTATGATTCTTGAGCCAGTGGGAAGCTCCTTTCTTTCTTTTCTTTTTTTTTCCTGTTTATATGTATTTTTTTAAAAAATCTTTATTGTTGAAAGCATTACAGGTATCCCACTTTTTCCCCTCCATTGGCCCCTTCCTCCCCCCTCTCACCCCCCTCCTGCTTTCCCCAAACCATTGTCTGTGTCCACTGGTTGTGCATATATACATGTAAGTTCTTTGGTTTATCTCTTCCCAACCTCCAAGAAAGCTCCTTTCTTGCTCTTGTCCCTTGGCCTCTATGATATCTCTGGATTCTGAATTTCCTTCTATTGCTTTGTTCACCCATCCCAGTTTCGTTTCTTTATCAAAACCTATTCTTTGATTCACAATAAATGTTAGTGCTCCTAAAGGCTTCATAATTAGCACTGCCTCCCTTCCCCGATACTCTCCCATATGTCATGGTTTTAACTACCTACACACTTTTTATTTAACCAGGTCTCACCTTTCTCCTTAAGACCTGG